TACCTCCTGACACCGAAGGAGGAGTAACGTTTTGGGCCTTTTCCGGCCCCACCTGGATTTTGCTAAATGTTTCATATTTTCAAAGTACTTCTTAGGTAGACTCTGTGCCAAATATTAGACCGAACGGAGCCCATGCAAGGGCGCAGCAGCGCCTCAAACCCAAAATCCTGGAATCGAAAAACAATTATTTTCGTCGACTTTTTCGACTGTTATCACTCTTCCAGCACATGCTTCAAATGTATTTTTTTGCGTACTTTTCGTTTCTGGCCTTTTTAAAGGCCTCCGATAAATTTTAAGGGGCCTTATGGCCCATTGTTGCCATTTTTGGCCCATTTTTAGGGGTTTTTTCCATTTAACACATTCAAAACTCAATTTAATCCAAAAACTGTGTACATTTTTGAAAAGTACGTAAAAAATTGAATGAAAAATGTTCAGTAAAATTTTTTCCTATGTTGCCAAATTTCCGAGAAAATTGGTCCCAAAGTGTCAAAAACGGCAAAAAATCGATAAATCGCCGCGTCTAAGGTTCAAGAAAGTGGAGTACATTTTTCATACTGTACCAGATAACAGCTCTTATCTATTCATACAACATATTAAAATATCATAGTTGTACCTGGATTCCCACGATGTGAAAATTCACCGAGATGTCGATTTTAGCGGCCTTTTTATACTTGAAGGCAGCTCTTTTGAATGTTTCTCGACCTTAGTCACCCTCTATGGGTGTGTACTGTATGTATTTTTCTACGTACTTTTCATATCTGGCCATAAAAATGGCTTCCTGTGAATTTTAGAAGGCCTAACGGTCCATTGTTGCCAATTTTCACCAATTTTTAGGGGGTTTTTCAAGTTTACGTGTGTGAAACTTAATTTAATCTAGAAACCGCGTACAATTTCGGAAAGAATGGAAAAAAATACATAAAAATGTGATGTGTACCTTTTCCCTACGTTGCCAAATTTTCGAGAAAAATCGTCCTGAAGCGCCAAAAATGCCAAAAATTGGATTAATCATCACGTCAGAGGTTCCAGGAAGTGAATTATGACATTCATGGGACACTTTCTCCACGCATTTTCTGTTGTTCGGTATATTTGGTCCGTAGCAAGCATCTTGAGAACCAAGGATTATCTCGAGGTTACAGGAATAAAGAGGTGACCTGGAGTGAAGGATAAACTAAAAGCACCTTGAGGGCCCGTTTTGTCACGTTCATCTGCGCCATTACATGTTCCTTGAGATGCATTGCAATTTTCCATTTTCGATACGTTATTTGTAGTGAAAGAAAACTTGAAATTCACTTCCTGGAATCTCGGACGTGATGATTAATCCAATTTTTGGCATTTTTGGCGCTTCAGGACGATTTTTCTCGAAAATTTGGCAACGTAGGGAAAAGATACACATCACATTTTTATGTATTTTTTTCCATTCTTTCCGAAATTGTACGCGGTTTCTAGATTAAATTAAGTTTCACACACGTGAACTTGAAAAACCCCCTAAAAATTGGTGAAAATTGGCAACAATGGACCGTTAGGCCTTCTAAAATTCACAGGAAGCCATTTTTATGGCCAGATATGAAAAGTACGTAGAAAAATACATACAGTACACACCCATAGAGGGTGACTAAGGTCGAGAAACATTCAAAAGAGCTGCCTTCAAGTATAAAAAGGCCGCTAAAATCGACATCTCGGTGAATTTTCACATCGTGGGAATCCAGGTACAACTATGATATTTTAATATGTTGTATGAATGGAAAAGAGCTGTTATCTGGTACAGTATGAAAAATGTACTCCACTTTCTTGAACCTTAGACGCGGCGATTTATCGATTTTTTGCCGTTTTTGACACTTTGGGACCAATTTTCTCGGAAATTTGGCAACATAGGAAAAAATTTTACTGAACATTTTTCATTCAATTTTTTACGTACTTTTCAAAAATGTACACAGTTTTTGGATTAAATTGAGTTTTGAATGTGTTAAATGGAAAAAACCCCTAAAAATGGGCCAAAAATGGCAACAATGGGCCATAAGGCCCCTTAAAATTTATCGGAGGCCTTTAAAAAGGCCAGAAACGAAAAGTACGCAAAAAAATACATTTGAAGCATGTGCTGGAAGAGTGATAACAGTCGAAAAAGTCGACGAAAATAATTGTTTTTCGATTCCAGGATTTTGGGTTTGAGGCGCTGCTGCGCCCTTGCATGGGCTCCGTTCGGTCTAATATTTGGCACAGAGTCTACCTAAGAAGTACTTTGAAAATATGAAACATTTAGCAAAATCCAGGTGGGGCCGGAAAAGGCCCAAAACGTTACTCCTCCTTTCAGAAAGATGCATCGAACAGGAGCCGAGATAGCGTTTTTAGCCACATTAGTCATTTCGGATTTTCGAATTTTGAATTTTGAAAGATTTTAATTCAAAACGCGTGATTCTCAAAATCAAAGCTCAGATTCAGATTCCTCGTAAAAAATCGATGCGATTTCATGTATCATACCCTGACACCGAATTTCAGGAGAATTCATTAAATAGGAGCCGAGATGGCATTTTAAGCCACTTCAGTCATTTCGGATTTTTGAAGTTGAAAAATTTTACTTAAAACACGTGATACACAAAATCGAAGTTCAGATTCGGATTCCTCGTAAAAAATCGATGCGATATCATGTATCATACCCTGACACCGAATTTCAGAAAAATCCATCGAACAGGAGCCGAGATAGCATTTTAAGCCACGTCAGTCATTTCGGATTTTCGCATTTGGAAAATTTGACTTAAAACGCGTGATACCCAAAATCGAAGCTCAGATTCGGATTCCCCGTAAAAAATCGATGCGATATCATGTATCATACCCGAGCATAGCGTGAAGGAAAGAGACGTAACGTAAACATACTGATTTCGAGCATATGAGTCCAACGTGGCAACATGGGTAGTGCTCAGCAGTGGGTCAGCGGAGGAGGAAGAATAAGAATTTATCGTGAGGAATTCCTCGCGACGAAACCGAATGCTAAGCGCCGGCGGCGGCGTAGTTCAAAGGGGCAGTACGACAGAATCTATACGCGTCGTCAAACCTTTTTCCTTCACGTTATTCTAATGATACATGAAATCTCATCAATTTTTCACGAGGAATCCGAATCTGAGCTTAGATTTTGGATAATTACGCGTTTTAATCTATTAAAAATCGTAGGAGAAATTACAGAATTGTCCTTGAAAATTGATCACACATTAGTGTTTTTTTACGTCATTAAACCTCTTTCCTTCACGCTATTCTAACATATGATGCATGAAATCGCTTCAGTTTTTCATGAGAAATCCGAATCTGAGCTTAGATTTTGGATATTACGCGTTTTAATCTATTTAAAATCGTAGGAGAAATTACCTTGTATAAATAAGTAAAGTATGAACCCCTTGTACCCCTAGAACCAACTGAGAGAGAAAGAAGAAGTGAAAGCGAACTATACGAAATTTTGTTGGTTACTCCACTGTTTGTGTTTGTTTCGTTTAAATAATGTGTCTAATTAGATATCGATTTACTTAGTTCAATTTTTATTTTAATCTCGGTTAAATACTCGATTTTTACTAACTTATCTTCCCACGCAAACTTGTCGCAGGTCCGTAATGAGTCCCGTCCCATGAAGACGGTACCTGACTGGAAATAATCCCGGAAGTTTCATTACTGCGATTCGAACATGGCACAAATCCCATGAAAATGTCTCGTGGAGACAAGGCCCTATACAAGATAGGCGTGGAGTGGTGTCAAAAAATTGGAAAAATTTAAGGACAGTCCTTCAGCTTTCGGCTCACAAAAATATCCCCAGGTAGCATTTCTAACGGAAAAATCGCTGTATGTTGCGATTTTATCGGCGATAAAATTGTCAGGATCATCAACATCTGAGTGATTTTTCTCGATCTTATCGCGCATTAATCGCCCGACAATTTATCACGATATTTTCGAAATAAAAGTCGCGATAAATGGCGATTTAATCTCGATTTTATCAACGAAAATAAATTTATCACGATTTTATTGAACTAAAAATTGCGATGTGTAGATTTAATCGTCATATATAGCAATATTTAATGCAATAAATCTCGATATATTGCCACCGATATAATCGCGATAGCCAACCGATAAAATCGCTATTTATCGCGATCACTACTACTGGGGGCCTACGGCTGCATTCGGCTTTCGACTTTCCGTTCAACTTTCAGTCCATTTGTTGTGTTTTCGTGTTAGTGTACCTAGCACAATTTAAATTTTCATTTGACAAAAGCAGAAGAAGAGTTGAATCGTGCGAATTAGGTTTAAATTTAAGAAATCCTTGAGGTTGAAATTAATCTACTTTCGCAGATGAGCAGCTAAAAGTGTGCCCTTTGGCTAAAAGTGATGAGACCAAATCGAAAAAAATACTAAACTTTTAATACATTATTTTTTTATTAAAAAGAAATTTCAAGATTTAAAAAATAAATAAAAAATACCATGATGAAATAAATAAAAATCCATCCATCTGATTCTACGGACCACATCACAAATAACTATTCGCTTTCATTAGCATAGTGACTGATATGATGACTGCCATACAATATACATAATAAAGCTCTAGAGGCCTTTTATCATCTCGTTGATACGTATTCGTACGTTTTATTGCTGTCTATTACAAGAGAATATTATATTGATGAAATTTTAACAATTTATGCTGCTGTGTAATGAAATTAATTTTTTTCGTCACTCCAAACATGGATGGTTATGCTAGTATGATTTAAGTTAAAAATCTTCGTTTACTTTGTTATTCAGGGATCTAATTCCTAATTTAAGCTCTAAACTATACATCATTTAAGTTGTATTTACATCTCATCAATAAAGTACTTCTTTGGTTCCTCTGTTATTTATCTGAATTTTCTCCATAAAGTTAATTTTAGAAGGGAGGAAATTTCAGAACCACTCCCCTCTAGACAAAATTTAGAACTTCGGAGTCATTCAAACTAGAGCGCCAGCAACATTTCTGTCTAAATTCAAAATATTCTTTCTTTTCTCTGCTGATTTTTTCCTAGTTTGAACGAATTTTCCAAGATTCGTCAAGGATGCACATGATGAAAAATTAGACACTCCTGCTCTTTTGAAAACTAGCATGGGTGTAGAATCAATCACTTATTAGATTTGAGAGAAATTAGTACCAACAAGAAAAGATTCTTTGAGGGTAGAGCCAACAAATACAAAACAATTCTTTAGTGATCGAGCCCCTAGAAAAATAAGAATATGCTAAACTGGACATTTCCTAGTTGTGAAAGAATGCATCTTAAAAGTTGACAAGTTTAAAACCTGAAAATTTATTTCGAAAATATTCGTATATTATGCAGGAAGTTATGATAAAATTTGAGAAAAATTAATTTTCAATGGCCTCATGGCTACTGCAAAAAAAAGAGAGAGATCATTTTACAATGTTGAGTTGTTTTTTACACATGTTTTTTCAGGATACAAAAAAAATTCCAGTTAAAACGATTTTATTCCTTGCGTTCTTCTCCTGAATCCTTTTATGGGCGTATTTGAACAGCCAGAGAAAAAAAATAATGTGTTCTCTGACATTATATTCAACTGTTATTTTTTTTTCCTCCTTTTTTTGTAAATTGTCAGACAAAAGAGATAGGAAAAAAGCCTCTTAATAAAGAGCATGCAATAATTTCTGATTTTGGTTTCCAATTATTTTTGCTGGTTACCAGACTAGATTTTTATCTTAAATGGAAGTTTTTCCAGCCTTTTTGGGAACTGGAGTTACAAGATTAATGTATGATTCTAGATACTGTGTATAATTGAGCACAGGTTGCTATATTAATGGAACCAATAAGTTAGAAGAACTTGGCCGCCTTGAAAACAAATAAAAACCCAAGATAAACGTTACATTCAGTGAATTTCACATTAGGTATTATGTTAAAGGAAAGCAGCTACTTCCCTGAGTATTTGGAACAGTCAAAAATTTGCTTCAAAACTGTAGAGAGGAAATGATGTTTTTCAAACAATGCTCATTTTCATTAAAAAGATTGGATTGGCCTAAAAAATGTAACCAAGTAACAAAACTAGAAACGAAGTATAAAAGAAGGAAACTTCAATAGAAAATTTGAAATCTTTCAAATTGTTGGTAAGTATAAATTCATTAAATTTTTTCGGTTTCATAGCAATGGCTGAGATATCATAATTTCATTGGTTCTTACATGTATGTAATCAGTACTATTTTGCTCTTCAAGTATGAGCAGCATGAGCACGGTCTAATATTGTTGGTTACTTTTGCTAATGATGCGGGACTAAGCTGAATCAATGCTGATGTATATGATCTATCTGTAATTAGCAATGTTTGTGCTTGTATCAGATCATGATTCCTTCATTTCCATCTTCTGTTGAATGCTCCTTTATTTAGGATGGGTCAGTATTTTTCTATTTCATCTGCACATACCTTCCCACTGACATTACTCACTATAACTATTTTTTAAAATTACTTTTAAAAACTTGTACATGATGACTAAATTCTCAACTCCTCAGGAGAACCAATCGCTTTCACAGTGTATTCTTATGCAGGGTAAAGGTAAAATCTATTTTTACATTTTGACAGTACTTGAGAAGGTGATTTTCTAAACTTAGAGCTCTTAGGATACATTATGCACATAGAGGAAAGAAATCTTCAATACGAAAAATCGAAATGCAAGTAGAAATAGGAATACAAATGATTCTAGGCTAGCAGATCACTTATATCATTATTCTGTACCACTACTTCACATATTTCTATGAGTTATTGGCATGTCAACTTCTTGCAACACAAACAAAAGGACAAATTAAATCTTACATGTATAAGATGATTATAAAACTTGGAAAAAGGAATAAAATGAAACCGCCAATTACTAAACTTGGCAAGGCTCAGCTAGAATTGATTAAATCACAAGATTTCAAGTCAGAAAATTATTTCCATAAAAAAAAACCCACAGTTGAGACCATGAAAAATATCAAATACATCATAATTTCAGTGACATTGCAAACAGACTGGCAGCTCTCATTATTGACCATGTCTTAATACAATCAAAAGATATCACCAAATACAACAGGTTGACACAAGAAATTTTGCAATCCTTTTTGCTTCTTACATGGAAGAAATGGGTTTCTATCAAAAATATAGGTGAAATAGGCGAGTAAATTGGCTTTACCTAACTTTTTTGCATTCCAAACCTGCCGGTTTAGGGCTGAGATACAAGCCGGGGTTTAATGAGGTTCTAAACTGTCAGGTGTAGGGCGGAAAAAAGTTAAGTAATAAAGATTATATTATTGCCAAAAAGTATGTGATAATTTGCATTAGGCTTGATCAATATTCTACAGCACTCAAGTATTAGTATATTCATTATAGACAGGAATAGTTGCACGATCTAAGTTTTAATAATCTCCAAGTTCTTCATGAGCAGATGCTCTTGACCTAAAAGGTGACTCACCCAACTAGTAGCAATGGACAAAATATGAGTTTCATTTTAAGATATGGAAAAGAATGATGAGTGATGAATATTTCCTGATGTAGCGGTACTACAAGATAGATAAAACTTGACTATGAATTTTCCCGGAGGAGAGTATAGGGTTTTTGACTTTGTCTTCCTAGTGAGGGCTGAGGTAAGACGGTAAGCCTGAGCAAAGTTGAAAGATGATCATCTCCAAAAGTAAGATGATGTGGAGGGGTTTTTCTTGGCGGAAAAATGAAAAAACCGAATCATTCAACAAAAAGTTCTTCAGAGCCTGAAAGCGAAAGGATTTCTTCATTGATCACTTGAGTCGGAATCCGAAATATAAACGTAATTAAGTGTGATAAGATGATAATAATATAAGATTTTGGTTCTAATCCCTCAAAGAAAAGCCAGTCGTTAGAATTCAGAGTCTAAATATTTCTCATCCCCATCTTGGTCATTTTTCTGAAGTGAAATTTTGACAAACAAATATTACTATAATATTAAAACCGGTTACATAATGATTTTATGTGCAAATCTACAACATTAAGTACACTGTGTGTAAAAAATTTTCGAGGAGAAGTTGCAATCATCACAGGAAAAACGCTGTCAGGAATTTCCTTATTTTTCAACCCCATTTGTCTATTCCCCTTGATATTTCATCCGGTTTTCATGGATCTGAACCTTTTTCTGACAAATGCCATATGAACACTCAGACATTGTCAAATTTCTTTCAATAAAATGTTTATTGCAGAAAAAAGTTATAAATATTTCAACTTGAAATTTTCTGATACCTGTTTCAGATAAAAGCGCGAATAAAATTCTATGAATAATTGAAAGCAAAATATTCACGAATTTCCTTGAAAATCCGCGTTTTATCAGACAAAAGGCAATGTCTGATGGCTCATACAGTGTTCTTCCTAAGCACGGCAGTATAGCTATAGTGAGCATTGATTTTGCTAAAGGTTTGTCAAAGAGGGTATGTCTGACTGAATAACTTTCTGACTCTTGGCAACGCTAAAATTATTTTATTTTAAAGAGAGCAATCTTTTTTTACATTTGAGTATAAAAGTACAAAATATATACATCCTCATAAGTTTCTTTGCTTTAAAGGCTTTTTAAATTTGTTATTTAGTCTCTGGATTATTCAAACTTTTCAAACTCCTACACCAATTCCACTCTTCAAAGATTTTTGTATGATAATATGGTCAGGAAAAAAAGAAAGTGCCTCTCAGTATGAAAGTATCCAAATATTTAGTCTTGAGGAAAATTTTGCAGAGAAAAGGCAAAATTTTAAGCTGTGCTGAAGAATTTTGAAGAGAAAAGTTTGTAGAATAATAATTTATTTGAATGCTACGATCACAAAAGTGGCTAAAGATTGTTGTCAGAAGCTGTCTTCAGTTCAAGTTTAATTTGTGATCCCCCCCCCCCCCCCCCCCCNCAAGGAACTCGGGGCAGTTTTTAAGATGGGAAGCTAGCGTATTAATGAAAAGACTGAAACATGATCTTGTAATCTTGAAGTGTGCGTGCTTCAAATTTTCATGGAAACCTTCTGGAGTTGAAAAGATAAATAGAATAAAAGGCCACGAATGTCTTGCAACATTCTGCTGTTGTTGTGGAATTATTCATTCTTCACGATCTTTGGAAGACTTCAACAAGTTGGTACAAGATGTTTAATTTTTACTCTAATCAAAAGTTGGAAGGTTAAAGAAGACCTCATTAAATTTTCACAATTCACATGTATTTTATTTAGTTCTTAGTATTTCCTTTTGGTTCCCTGTAATGTATTATGCAGCATTACAATTTTTGTAAATTTTGATGGATTTTGAACAAAGAAGAAGAAACAAGGCAGAAAAAGGGGAGTAAATTTGAACTGGCCCTCATTTTTAAAGATAGCTTTCTAGCGGAGCTGTTTCTATGCTCTCATATCACTTTTGCACCAAGTGAGACAAAAGTTGGGTCTGTTATGAAAGATATAAAAGGAACCTGAGGCATTCCGTAAAACATTGATATAAATTTTCCTTACAAGAGGTTATGCAGTAGGTTTCATTCACTTTGGGCTAAAAAGTTCTGAAACTAACCATTATATGGAATTTTAAAGACTAGACTCAGTGCTGACCAATCAGAAATTTACAAATTGCCATGCACGGAGACTTATACTCATGACCTAGAGGAGTAGAACATTTAACACTTTGAGTGCCACAGCTATATGACAAATTATTTTGTCCACACAAATTATTCATCAAACAGCTTTTTTGAGTCTTCCATTATTAAGACGATCAAATGTTATGTAATTAGTTTTTTCCTCCAGTTTTTCCATCCCTTCCAACCCCCCTTCCTACCTCTGTTAAACACCAAGGTATAAGATAAATTTAACACAGCCCCCCCCCCTCCCCCGGTAAGACTTAAATAACGCCAACTGGAAAAAACTTCTCCTGATTTTAAACAGCTTTTCAATAGCCTATTAGTCTTTTTCTTGTCCAGAGAATTGCACAATTTTTTCTTTTCTTTTTTTAAATGTGAGTTCTTCATTAAGGCTTCTAAATCCCCCCCCCCCTTTCCCTCGTGCATCACAAAATACTTGAACTTTTGAAACGAATTGTGCAACCTTCCAGGCAGATTTTGCTTCAGGCTAAACAGAACACAAGATATTTTCATATTCAAAAGGAAGAGGATCAACTAAATTTAAAAACAATTTGGACATTTTTACAGTTTTTCTTTGGTATTTCAAGGAATCTAGGGATCATCTCAAATTCCTCCATAGTTCCTAGGTAAATTACTTCAAATTTAAGAGAACGACCTGCTTACAAAGTTTGAGAAATATTAAGTTACCTTCACGAGAGATAACTTCTTTCTCCCTAAGAGCGAATCGGCGCATTTTCATCAGTGATTTCAAGGAACTGAGCATACACATCTCTCCAGCATAGGCCTTTCATGTTGAACATGAACTTGTAATAGCCTCCATCAGCACAAACAACTGAAAACGAGAAAAACTGATCATGAGGGAGAAAAAGACACAAAGAAAAATTTCTGTATTATTTATGACCCACTCATTGAGCCAGGTTATTTTTCCTTGGGAGCAAATCACACTAAATTTCCTATAAAAGAACTACAGTAAGACCTCGGTTTACTGAATTTTACAGGTCTGACGAATCAATCCGTTAAATCGCGTGACCCATTAATTTGAATGAGCATGAAGCCCTAAAAGGGACCAGGAGATCAATCAATTAAATTGCCGAATTTGCTTAATTGTGATCCCATAAATTGAGGTCTTGCTGTACTCTAATAATGACTTATCAATTCAAAACTAATATTAAGCTAACAAATTTCCTAATTTTTCAAAGGATTTACAACATTCTGTAAACTGCTCTTTTCTTCATTTTTATACTTTACACACCCTGTCACATTTCAGCAACTGCGCATTGAAATGAAACTGATTGCTCCACCAATTTCAAATTCTAGAAGATTTTGCTCTCTTTCACAATATCAAGGCCAGTTTCGGATGGAGCTCTTGCATGCCACAAGGATTTGCGGTTTAAAAACACTATTTTAAATATAATTTTGCAAGAGACACGATGGTGCCGCTGATTTTCCTGAAAGCAACTCCCAAACTTACAAGGAAGCTCTAAAAGTTGAGGTTATAAGCCAATAAACCAACAGAAGAAGAAGAAGAAGAAAGTTGAGGTTACTATACTAAATGTCTCTAGATGGCTGTGGGCTCCTCTACTGGAGTAAAAGCCACTAAAATAACAAAAAGAAGAAGAGGAGGAGGAAAGGTGAGGTTATGTTGGAGGAGATTGTCTACATCACGAGAGTCCACCTTTGCACCTGGTCAAAGTCTCCTTGCGTAGATAGGGAGGAAATACATTGGCAGGTTTGCCTTGGTTACAACCTTAGAGTCACTACACAAAATGGCAATCCTGCCGATGTATTCGCTTCCTATCTACACATATCAAGTATGGCTAAATATAAAGGCAGACTCGCACTTAAACATCTAAGTGATCCCCTCCATTACTGTCTCAACTTTTAGAGCTTTTTGTAAGCTTTGAGCTTGTTTCAATGAAAGCCAGTTGCACCATTGTGTTACTCACAAAACTTGACAATAGAACAAGAGTTTAAATCGCAAATCCCTGAGGTACATAAGAGCTCCTTTACAGAGGACAGTTCAAATTTATCAACATCAAATTCTTTGGAGTTCTGAATAGAAGAGGTTAAAAAAGTGTTCTCGAAAATTCCAAATTAATAACAGATTTCTTTGAGATAAAGTTTTGGCTTCCTACAGGAGCACATTGTATATTTATCATTTAGTAGAGTTTTCAAAAAGCTAGAATTTGAATCGGCAAGATTCTACAAAGAAAATTGGCTCTTCTCCAAAGGGAAGAAGCCACAACTTACCAATAATTGAATTGGCATCAGAACCAAATGCACAAATACTTTGAGGACCACCAGGAATTTGAAACTTGCAAAAACTCCAGTTTGAATTGAAATACTTTGGCAGGAAGGGAGTTGATGCTAAACTGGAAAGTTAACAGGAAATTTCGGTTTAAAATGGATATTAATCATGGTAAATTGGACTGTGTTAGGCAGAAAAGAGGCAAGTCCATTCAACTGTGTGCAAACTTTATCAGACAGCATATTTTGATATGCCAGATTAGTTTGACTTATCCTTCTGTCCATTTTGGGGAATTTACTTTATACCAGATTAGAATTCCCAGAAATTTTAAGGACAATTTGCATACCTTTCTTCCATAAAGAAATACACTGTCTGACAAAATTTGGCTACAACTGAATGGACTTTATTCCTTCCTGCTTATACTGTTCAATTATCAATCAAAAAGGCTAGGCTCTGAAGCAAGATGATAGGTTCAATACTGATAGAGGAGATAAAAATATTGCAAGATTTTCCAAGAGATCCTGAAAGAGCTGTGGCTACTCAAACATGAAGGCTGCATTCGTTGTTGCTTCTAGGATAATTCTTTCCCCCAGGAAGACCCCACATGGTTTATATTAGTTTAAGAGAGCCTTTAACACAGCATCATAAAAAGGATAATTTTGCAACCCCAAAGTGAAATTTAACGGTAGGTATAGCTTTAGAAGTAGATCTTTGCAAAAGATTACGATAATTTTTCATCACAACAAATACAAAATAATAGAGCAAAATAAATGATTTTGACAAACTGCAATATTTTATATTTGATATCTTGAATTTTTAACACTTAGAAATCACTGTAATCCTCTGCAAGGATCCATTCTCTTCATTATAGTGTTGAAATTTACTGGAGATTTGTACCTAAAAATTGTGATTTCTATGATGCCATGTTAAATGTCTCAAACCTCTTTCAATCCCAATATAACGGGATCTCCTTAAGAAAGAGCGCTGCTAAAGGGGCATTTATGAATACAGTCACTGGGTACTATTCTTAGTGCACTTTCAGTGAAATTTTATCAAGAACATGCATATTTTCTAAACTACATGATTTTGCATTCGGTTTCATTATCTGTTCTTTTACTTCTCCTTCTTCCACTTAATTTAATCATGCTACATATGCAACTTATTGTGTTTTATTTACCTTGATTGTTTATTCAAATTTTGATCCTGTATTGAGAAGATATGAACTGTGCCATGATTACTTGAAACACACAAGAATGTTGAATCATTATTAAAATTAATGCAAAATATCTGTGCAGGGTTAATGCCTCGCCGCAGTTCATTCAGTTTAGACCCAGTTGCTGTATCGAAAACTCTAATTAATGTTCCCTGAAAAAAAGAGACAAATCAGCTTTAGAATTTGATCAATTTTTACGTACAAAGCACAAAGAGAAAAGGGCTTTGACTTTGGAGTTGACATGAAGGATATTTGAGAAAATAAGGATAAAAAGATACTCAATTCATTAAAATAGATAAGACTAACATTAACACGATGTGTTAAAGTCATATAATTTAAACTGATTAAAATTCTCAGCGCAACTCTAGGTACATCTTCTGATTGAAGCAAAAAAAAAAAAAAAAAACTTTGTTGTTGGATTATAGTTGAATGAACTACCTTGGTATGAATAATGACTTAACTAACCTTTTCTGAAGCAGTTGCCAGTCTTGTGCCTTGTAAGTTAAGTGCAATACATCCTAGATGAGCTTCATGCGCAATAATATCTACTGGGGCTCTTTCTGTGTCAGCTAGATCTACAAGTTGAACACTTCCAGTTTTACGACCAGGGAATGCTAATAGTGAATTATTACTGTTGGGGCATAGAACGCATAAACCTAAAAAAAGGAAACAATTTAGGAACTTTACAAGCTGAGCAACAGATACAAAAATTTAAATCTTTAATGTCCGACGAATTCAAAAGGAAAGAACTAGGTAAGATCAAGTTGCAATGTAGAAACAGGCAAGAGGTTTAAGTCCTAATCGATAGAATTAATGTGAAAGCTAAGGTTTAAGTCCTATTCTAACATTCAAAGTATGATTCGTTACCTTAATGTACATTTCCAAGGAGTGGAAATTCAACTTGTTGGGCTCAAAGCTACTCTAAGTTCATTTTTCCCAAAATTGGACTTGAGTCCTATCTGCTTAGTTCTGCTTGAAAAAGTATAGTTTTACCAGTCAATGCCAGACTTTGGTCATACGAGCCATGAATACATATTGTAGCAACTTCTTATGAAGATAAATCAAATGAATATTATATGATAGATATAACAGATGATAGAGGTATATGATGGATTGTTGCCTGTGATTGTCTAGGTTCTTTCACAGGGTGATAAATGAATGGAAAAATAATATTCTCTGAGTTCTCTCTGAATTTTTTGTATGAAAAAAAAAAAGAGATTATTTGACTACTTTTGGAAAGGTGTGCCTTGCGCTGCTGAATTTATGTGCAACTAGAGTTTGTATAAATTGTACTGTTTCAGTGAAGCTTGGAAATTTCAATGAAGCTTCCCTTGGCGATGATATACTGTCGACCAGATAGACCACTCAATGCAGAGTCCTTTACAGATAGTAGAATCCTCTGACCTCTGGCAACCTCCTGACTTTCCTGCTTTTTGCAATTTCCTTACTTTTTCAGCTTCCCCAGGACGTTTAACACCCTGTTTCATTTTGATACATCATGGGTAAGATATTATACAGACTCATGACTTCTATAAATTGACAACTGAATGAGCCAAGTTTCTCCAGGCCTTTCTTCGAAAAAAAAAAAAAAACTTACCTTTGGGATTAGGATGTGTCTCAAAAACATGAAGTTGCTGTGGCGACTGTGTGAAAGTGTAGACCTTGATGACGCCTTCAAGAATAACGACAATGCGGTCTCTCCGCAGCCGTACACCTTTGACAGGAGCATTAAATTCAAGAGAAATCACAGCTTGCTTCTTCAAGTCATCCCATACCATAACTGATTTGTGAGAAAAAAAATAATAAATAAAATGGTAAAATAAATACCAAAAAAGATATTTACAAGTTTTTATGAAACAGACCAAATGGAATCATACAAATGATGACATTTGTATTTTTACCACAAAAGTTATGTAAATTAAAAACAATTTTAACTTGTTCAGGAGTTTTTTTTTTTTTTTTTTTTTTTTTTTTTTTTTTCTTTTGTATTTTAGGCGGTCTTGATAACAGATCCAGTTGAATTCCTACTTACTGCTGAAGACACAAACTTCCTTCGTATAAAAAAATGTTGGTTGCAAACATTTTGGTCTCCTAATTTTTGCTCTTAAATCTCATTTGTCCATGCATCAGTTCGTTTCCAGATCATCCTATCTCAAACTCTTCTCTAATGGCACTTTAAAATTTTAATACGATAGTTTCGTTGCGTTTCTTGAGATCTTTTATCTACTAATGGTCAGTGATTAATGTTCTTCATCAAACTGCTCATTTTAAATCAGTGAAAAGATTTCATGTTCCATGCAAAGTTCCAAATCCAGTTCCAAACATGTGTTTATTTACTATTGCTGTCTTAACTCAAGATAAATCTTGATGCTATGTTTTACCCTACCTACTTGTGGCTGCCAGGAAAGAGAAAGAGAGTACCGTCTATAAAAAACATAGACTTGAAAATCTGAAGATTTTACCTTTGTTTAAAGGGTATTTAGGATGGACTCCACCACCAACTAAAGCCAGATAGTTGCATCGAAACAACATTTCTACACAGCTGAGTCCGCCATCTGGAAAATCTTGTCGTTCTTTCTCTTTGAGTGGATCGCAATTATACACCCTAAAACCATCTTCCATGCCACAGGCAAAACAACCTGGTAACAAACAGAGGATGATAAGAATAGGGCAGTCGCATAGTCTTAGAAACGTGTTACACTGGTTAGAGAATTAACAGGATGATCATAAGTTCTGCACCACCCAACCCCTCCAGCCTTTAAGGTTCTTGCCCCTCTCCAGGATAGTCCCTTTCAATTTTGGGGGTTTCCAAAAGTTTTTTCCTTTGATCTAGGAGCACTCACAAAATTTCAAGCCTCAATCTCAATTTCCTGGTGCTGGTGGTGCAGAACTTTAGGATCAACCGGTAGAATAACTAACAAAATAAAAACCCCATCAAAATGCAGAGTTCCTGGACCCAATATCTTGGGAATTTCTAGCGATTTTCAAGAGACAATGTCTTCCTTGATATAGCTCTCACTTAGACTCTCCTACTTTCAAACTGTACCTATCGAACAAGTTTTTATCCGACACCACATACTTTCAATCTTATTCGCGTGAAACAGAAGATATTCTATCTTCAGGTGGGCGTTGAGAGGATATTTTCTTCGGCTTGTGGAACAGCGCTTGCAAGACAGATAAGCAGACATGATCAAAAACCTGGTTGTAAGGGACGAGTTTCTGTTTTTCAAGTAAATTATCAGGTTACAATACTTAGCTCTTGGATGAAGCATAAAACAATTTGAGATAGTGGCTAGAGTTCAGAATACAAGCCGTTGTAGCGCTTAACCTTCACAACGTAGCTGCTGAACTGTTAGGAGATTTCAAATGGCATATAGTTCTTCCAGTTGGATAAGGGTTTTGGGGAACTGATAGTCTCAATGACAGCTCGTGGCCTAAGTTGTATCCAGAATACTTAAGGACATGATGTCGTGAACAGTTGAGGTATTGCTCTTTTGATTTCCAATGACATCAGAGCAGTTAAGCCCTTGCATGCGTATCAGAATATACGTCAATTCAGTCACTAAACTCACGAGTATTTGAGTTTACTAGACACTGTTTGTCAAAAAGGTAGCTTCAAATACAACATTGATAGCATAGATAAGAACATGAAGTCCATGACTTATGAAAATATGTTTACCTCTGTCTTGATTAAAACCAGCGTACAATAATCCATTTCCAAATGGATTTGCTTGATTCAGATTCATTTCGGGAGATGATTGAGAAGCTGACTCGAAATTTCTTGAAGCTCTAAGGAGACATTCAAATATGAAGGAAGATAACACGACTTACATTACAAAAAACACAAATGGAAGCTATCAAATTTCGAGCAAAGGTTTGGGACAAAAAGGTATCGTGGTGATAAACCTTATACAACTAAAATGAATCAATTCGAATCAAAACTGTAGTTGAACATTATGATACTGATAATCCATTTCTACAAAGATAAAATTAGATATGCGAGTGCAGAATGAGAAAAACACTGGAACAAGAAAAGCAACGTCAAATCAAATGAAAGATCGCAATTCGCTTTCGCTATCAAGTAAATAGACTCTTATGCCAGTGTTGTCAGCTATCGTACTTTTACTTTTAATTTTAATTTTGAAATTTTGTACGATGCAAAGTTCTACGGCGAGAAATTTTGGGGAGTTTTCTCAAATTTCTTTGATTTTTTTCACATAAAAATAAATTTCGCTTACCTTCCTATAAAGAGGGTTTCTTTCTAAATGCTTTCAATAATAAAGACAGCTAGGCAACAGTGAATTTTCATTGCCCACGAACAAAACCGATCATCAGTTGTGTCCAACGTTTCCTTCAGCTGATGTATCCTTGATTGGGTCCTTGGTGTGTTGTTCTTATTGTTAGAAGTACTGAGATAATTATTCCTTCTTAGTCTCTTGCCTAATGGAAATCTTTAATCCTCTCGTATTTAGTTGAGATCTCCTTCCAATTATTTTAGTTTTTATCTTCACAGTGCAGTGAATTCCTCCATTCGAATGATGAACGATAATGTGAATCGTGAAGATCCCAACATTTGGATTTCTCACTGGGAACAGCAGTGTATTGACCATCTTGAAGATGAGCCTGACTATGAAAGCCAACTCCAAACTGAAAGAGATTTAGCCTCCCATAAAGCTTGGACAAATTTTCAGAGTGCTGCGACCGCTGTCGCTCAATTATACCGAGGTACTTCCTCCAATTTTTTTTCTTTGTGTGTCGCTTAGCCGTAACTTGAACATAACAATATCACCCGTCAATACACACCTGCGTCTTCGTGCAAATTTTTCACAAGATTTATCAAGAGTGTCATGCCTATGAAGTCTTCCAGTATCCCATTTATGATTTTCCAGTATTGCTAATATTTTTATTCAGTCCAAGCTACCGCAGTATTTCTTACTAATCTTGAATCTACCTGTAACCTTGGGAAATTATTTTCATTGTCATCGCTCTGAAGTGGCCCTGCTTCGCCAACTTTAAGGTTAAAGCGCCATGGTTTCCTATCATTCTTACTTTTTTGACTAGTTAATCATTGCTGATGATAGGATTTACCTCAACTCAAGCTTTCAAAAACTATGATGTATCAGGCACTAAAACAAGTTTATCATGCACCCTTTGTTACCTGCCAGGTAATGAATCAACCTTAGTGCATTCATAGGCAGATTTTAATCTGTTGTAACAACAAGGCAGGCGTTATGCCTCTCTCTTTATGCAAGATAAAGAGGTTTCTATCCCTGCATCTCATTATAAATTAGATCTATCAAACCCTCCACATTTTATGAATGACTGATCACCTAAGTATCAGAGGAATGCAAAGAGGAAGAGTTTGCCGTAATTTCATGAATGTTTCGGGGAGGGTTGTTTCCTCTCTATAGAACAAACAAGTGGTTCAAAGCAAACTTGAAAATGAAGAATGGGAAAATAATATAACTTACTTCTGAGGAAGTCACAAATAGGTATTAGAACTGTAATCTAACTGATTAGAGTTTTCTCAGTCTTGGTCAAGCTGCTCTTCAAGTTTTTTGAGACTTGTCATCCTTTTAACTTCATTATCTATGTAATAACAGTGTTCTTTTTATTTGATCCAGACCGTCTTCATGAAGCACCTTCTCTGTGGCAACCTTTCCAGGCAGCTGCTGGCAGTGTGACAACTTTGTACAAAGGTAATAACATACTTTCTGTATCTTAATTTGTGCTATTTTTCTTCCAAAAATTTCAAATTGCTTTAGTTTAAAATTTTTTAGATTCCTCACTAAAAAGATCATCTTACCAAGCTTACATGAAGGGAAAATTTTGTAGTCTTTTTCCTCCCTCACAAGCAATGAAATTGGACTTCAAGACCAATCCACACAAGTCAGTCACACAGGTTGAGACTCAACTGTGTATTCATGGTAGGAAGGTTGGAAGCAATTTATTACATATAGGACAACTTCATAGACAGGCGATCAATCTTTGGTTGGGCGGTATAGTGGATCTCCAAAAGATGCACAGTGACTTGCTGATTGGTCTTGTCAAAATCTTATATTAGTGATATTAAGGGATTGGTTTTAGCAGGGATACTCAAGGGTTCAGAATGTTCTCGATCACGCAATCATGATTGTGTGGCTGCTCATCTGAAAATTAGGAAAGGCTTTTTTTTTGGACTCGTCTTGAACAATTTTGGGAAGAAAACCATGAAGCGCACCATTTTCTGTGTTTGATGCCTTTCAAACTTGTTGCTTTTGGGGAAGGGAACTAAAACGCTCATGTGCTGGAAGTCTTTCAAGCGCCCTACTTTTGGGAGAGGAAACTGTTCAGCGCGTTGTTTTATGTAGAGGTGCAATTTTAGCAAACATCAAATTTTTGGAAAGACTAAAAGCTTTGTATTTCCTGGTGACACATTTTTTCTGGAAAAAAAATACATTACAGTGATAGTTACAAATACAATTGAAATCATAATGAATTATTGTATACTTAGTGCAACAATTTCCTGTATGCCTTTGCAGGAGTCCATGCTTTGAGGACGTTTGTAAAAGGAATATTATTTTTGAAAAAAACGAAAGAAAAGTGGTCATATTTCGATTTGTAGCTTGACTGTGATTAATTTCTTGCTCGTATTTTTAGTGTATTTTCCGAAGAAAATACACTATTGCATTCTCCCATGATGTCCGACCCAGACCCGAGACCTTGTAGAGAGCACCGATCACTGGTCGTAGATCACGAAAATATATGCCATTCAAATTCATGTGTATATATATATGTATGTATGTATGTATGTATTTTTTCTTTTATGATTAGAAATTTTCAGCAGATGCAACATCTATTTTAGGTCAATCGGTATCCTTTAAATTTTCAAGGCTCATAGTTTATCTACATTAACTTCAATGTAATTAATGCCCCGTAAGGGGCAGTTGTACAATTTTATTTTAATAAAAAAAAAAAAAAAAAAATAGTTTATCTTCTAGTAATATTTAGATGCATCAACATTCTTTGAGGCTTTTAATATTTTTTTTTTGTTAATTCTATCTTTTGCTGCAGATACGACAGAAGCAATGAAAAGAGCTGGTGAACTTGGTATGCAGTGTGGTTATCAGCGTAGGAACAAGGAGCTCTTGAATTGGGCAAGGAAGAAACGAAAAACCATCTGTCGAGAAGATCTCATTTCATATTTAGCAGGAAAGCCTCTGCCCCCTCGGTCACATCATACCCATTTCAGGTTTGAAATTCATTTCTCTGTGTTGAAAGTTCCTTTGCATATTGTTAACGCCCAGCTTTTAAGACAGCAAATATGTCATATACTTGGGACTGAGAGCAGGGATTTAGAGCTGAGGTTTGAGGGAGCATCATAAACGGAGCCGCATCGACGCGCAAGGCGGAGGCCCGGCGCGGACTTTCATGCCGCTTCGATCAGTGCGCCGGGGGAGCGCATATGCCGTTGAGGCGGCTTCACAGGTGAAGCCGACTCCTGGCTCCTTTTCTGATGCTGCATCAGTTTTGATGCTGAGTCCAGCATCAAAATTAGCGGCTTCAATTAGCAGACGCGTCGGACGCCAGCGCCCCGGGCCCGGCTGCCGGTCGGCTAACACCCTTCCTCGGCGTCCACTTCTTAGAACTTCTCGGCGAGGCGTGGGCCGCCGCCAAGACAAAGGGGTGTTCCGCAAATTCATCGCCGAGTCCGAGGGTCGCGGTCTTCTGGGACAGCCCCGTCGGTAATTAAGCTGGGTGGCGGGTCCGAAAATTGAGGCCGTATCGGGCCGCAAGCCGACGGTCCGGCCTCAGAGGCTGAGGTCCATGTTGGTCCCTGAGCCAGCATCAAACCTCAGCATCAGCGCTTGAGGCTGGCTCGGTCGGCTCTCCAGCATCGGGCTTCAATGCCCGAAGCCGGCGGCCGGCAGGTTGAGCGCATCAGGCTCGGAGCCGTATGCCCGAACGGCCGCTACCTGGGCATACGGCATTGATGCTGAAGCTACGAGTCGATGCTGTACAGCATAACCTCATGAGGCGCCTCAAATGCCTGACTGAGAGAGCTTATTTAGAAAATGAGTTGAATATGTATTATTGCTGTTGTGACAAATAAATATGTGGTTGTTCTTATTTCCTTCCCTGTCTCTGTCTGCTGTCTGTACCCCTATTGGGGGATCCAGTCACATGACTTGATCCACCAATGGGAGAGCTGGACGCCGGAGAGAGAGAGGCACGGTTACGAGGACGCCATACTTGATTTTACTTCGGTCCTAGCTTGCTTACAGCCCAGTGTCTTTTCCGAGATCTGAGTATCCTTTGTGGGGGGAAAATCACCCTTAGTAAGTAGTGAAATTATCTCCAAAGGGATGAACTTTGCACTTGTTTGACTGTCACTTATTCAGATTTTTTGACTTTGACATATTTTATTTATTTATTTTAACAAAACTTTCACAACTTTGAAAAACACAATAATAAATCATACCCGAACCACGATCCTTTACCTACTGAGTTAGAAATATGAAAGGAACATTCCATGAGCCAAATATCCTCACGGCAAAAAAACAGTTCTTAGAGAGTTATACTCTAGTAAATTTCTATTTGTGACTTCATTTGATTTTCCTGCTTACGGCAATAGTGGCAAATTCAAATAAAAATTACCAATGTAAGTTTACCCTGAAGTAGATCCTGGCAATGGTTTCCTTGCGACAAATACAAGTGGCTGTAGCAGGCCAAGAATTTAAGGTTACGTTAATACAAATAGATTTGTTTTGATTGACCATGATGTGTTTGTATTTTTACAGGAGTTCGCCACGTCCACGACTTGTAGTGACAAGCTCTATCGACAATTCAGGACACAATAGCCGAAGTAACGTTTACCTACCAAATAATTTCAGTATCTCAAATTCATCTGTTTCAACACCTGGTGATGAGAATTTTGTTATGTTTAAAGAAGCACTCTCACATCCTAGTAAGTTCTTTTTTTAATCAATGTGCTACTTGTTCCTGAATAATTAAGCAGTTTCAACATAGGGTAACTGCTTTTCAGTACTGCAAAATTTTCTTCCGTTCCTCATTTTGTCAAATGAAAACTATCTTATAATATGAGTTAGGAACTTCAACGAATTTCACTTCCTCTATTTGCTCCACATGAAGTTTCAATGAAAAATTGATCTATATTTTTCCCAACTTTCAGGGGTGCAGACATTCTTGAACTGGGGAAACCTTTGCGCAAACGGTAGAAAATGGAGGAATCCTCAAATAAACAGGGCAAATCAGGGAACCTTGTACGAAGTATAAAAGCAGTAGTGTCTTATTACTAGCAGTGGAAAACTCTGATTTTATGGGTTTAAGGGGGTTTTATGTTGTCTTCAGGGGGAAGCAATCATGAATTTCGGCTAAGAATGGGGAAAGCTTGATTGCATCTCGGGAAAGGCCTGAAGCATTTTGCATACCTGCTAAATCCATCTTGTTTTCATCCCCTGTACAGGTCCAATCAAGTTTTATGGGTCATGTTTTCAAGAGGGTGTCGGGTATTGGATTTAAATTAATGGAACTAGGATTTATCTGCTTTGGTGATGGCAATTTGAGCTTTTGACTTGTTTCTGGTTCTCTGGTCGAGGTGTCTTCACAAATTAACATTTCTTGAAGCATTTATATGCCTTTAGAATTCCAAGAAATAAGCCTCCATTCTAAGAGAATTTTTCTTGGATCAGGCGATTCAACTGTTTTTTAAGAATTTTTTAGTGCTGAATCTCCTAAAGGGTGTCAAAAATCAAGAACATTGCATCTCTTTGATCAGCAAAACCAGGGTAAGTGCAGGAATTTTTTTTTGTGTGAAAACATTCGCTATTTTTATGTTGAGATCTGTGTCTTTGAGCCCTGATTCTATTTGTTTCAGGTGCTAATAACGTTAGTATATTTCGTAGAAGTCGTGGTGCAGAACTCTGTGCATTTGTATCTAATGAAATCGCACGCAACTGTGGTGTCAAGAGAAACAGTAGTAGTCCAACAATGGATGTCAATATGGACTCTCCTACTCAGACAAAGCGACCGCGATACATGTAGTCACTCTGTAAGTATATTTCTCCCCATCCTTTGCTTTATCTTTAATGTTTTGTCAGCTACATTTTCATCTCTTCTTCCCCTATTCATTTATGAAGTCATCTATTTCTTCAGATTCCAAGCACTTAAAAGTTCGCATATCTGCATTATTCGGGAAAAATCTAGTCAATTGACAAGGATTTCAATGGTATGCAAAGCTGTAAAAGTCAATAAATTTGCAGTGTTTGGGAAAAGTCGAAAAATTTAGAGAATTCATGAAAAAGTCAGGAAATTTTGTGAGTTGTACATCGGCTTGGTGACTTCAACCGGTGCTAATTGAGAGTGGAACAACTCCTAAGTGCCTCTTTTTATAAATTGAAATTCTAGAAGTGAATATTGTGCTCTAGGTAAAGCAAAGGCTAGCTTGGTGTTGCGTGTTATCAAAGAATCACCCTTCCATGTATCTCAAGTTTGCATAATTAGGTTCTAATCATCTGCAGAATAGGAAATTTATGGTTCAAGTCTACAGAATCAGATCTTGCATCAGATAAGTCAGCACTCATTTACTTCCTGTCTGCATGCGACTGCACAGCTGTTGTTTAAAAGCTATCTAAAATTGACTGCAGGTAGCGCCGCTGCCACACATAGATAGGTAAAGCGGTTTACTTTGCTGTATGCTCGGAAATAGACAACTGGCAACTTATCTGATGCAAGCTCTGTTTTGAAATTTTTCTTTGAGGCTCGCCCTCTAATCTGCATAGTCCTCCCTACCAGGAACTGGTAGCGGCTACCTGACCACAAGTATCTAGCCTGGTTACGGGATCTCGGCTACTAAGCTATGCTCAAGGCTCCTGGTTCTAGGGGTATACGCATAGTATGCCATGCTGGTAGGTTGTAGGCTTCGATCCTCAGCAAATCATTTTCAGCATACAGTTTGCGAGATACTCAGGTAGCCGGCTAGACGGTGATCCAACAGATCTCGGCATCTGCATAGTAGGTGGATCCTGTAGCAGCTCTCGAGAGCTGGATATGTCAAAATTCGGCCCGACATTCACCCTGGAAATCCCGTGTGACGGACAATGGAGACAATGCCCTCACTGCGAGGGCTTCAATGGAAGTCCCATGGACTGTGGCGGCCAATCTCAGTGCACTCATTAGCCGGCTAGTAGCCGATACCCGGTGGATATTAGCATCTCAGCATATCAATGTAGCCGTCCACCCTTGTATGCTAGGATCCTTCGCAGCGAGGGGTGCCAGCATACCTAGAAATCCGGCTACCAACGTATGCTGGCCGATCCGTCTACTTGGGCATCGGGTATCTCTACGCATGCGGCATCTCTATACATGCCAGGGGTCAACCTCTGTATTAGTCCCTGCTCCCCACTGGTAAAGAGAGTAGACTGGTCCTTTGTGCATACGTTGTACCTTTGTCAGGCTGGCCTGGTAGCCATGCTTTACGAAAGAAAAATTCTGTCAGTTAGGGTTGAAGGAGAGGAGGAATTGGTTTGCAGTCAAGGTCTAGACTCATACACCCCCTGATAAACATCAACCATGTCTTGTTTCCTCACCCCTTTGAACTGTTTGTAAAATATAAGGGATTGAGACAGTAGTTGGAGCAAAAATGATTTATTGTTGCCCCTATAGCAAGAAGAGAGGGCGGGGGGACTTTGTAATTCCTCTCATAACATGTAAGTTATCTGACTGACAGGAAGTGCTTTTCACTGTAATCAGGTTCAGGAATACTTTCCTTTAACCAAAAAAGGTTTGTGTAATTGATTTTCATTTGAGAAAAATTTTAATTGAAAACCAGAATGTTGACTTTCAAGGATGAATCATGTCCTCTTGTTTCTAGAATGTAGGTTAGATTTTAGATCTGACCGTCAGGGATAGGATATTGTGTCTGATCAATTGGAATTTAGTAATACAATGGAATCTCTGTCATTGGTTATGTTTAGTGTTCTTTCTTTAAAATTTTTAAATTGTACTCTTCTTTAATTTCTTTTACAGATTGTAGCAGTGACAAGCAGTTCAGTGTTCATTTGTCAAGGTATTTAATAATAAAAATAATAATATAAAAAGAATAGAGTTGGGCTGAGTCAATTTCTGAGAGAGGTTTTTCCTTTTTGTTTTTCTATTCAATCGTCGTAACCAAGCTTTTGCAAACTGTTTGTCTGTCGTTTTAAGGGGTAACTTGATAAAGTTAGATTTAGTTATTAAATTTTTAACTTGCTCTTGTGTTGCCTTTTTTGTGATTTTTTCTCAGTTTTATGACTCACGTCAATAACATTTTTTTCAAACATCGTTATCTCCACCTAAGAAACAATTTTATGGAAGTAGGATTCTAAAAACCTGATAAAATAGTGAGAGAGGAACTGTCTTTTTCATTGTGAGTGAGATGCCTGTAGACAGTAAATTTCTGATTGCTGCCCCAGAGCCATCTTGCATCAGGTTCGGTTAGGGGAAGGAAAACCAATTCGTTTTGACCGCTATTTAACATTTATATGTATTTTTCCAAGGCCGTTAATGCCATTTTTCAACTTTGGCTGAAAAAGAGGACTACAATAAAAAAAATTGCTGTGTTCACCTTTTTCTGCTTATCCATGTACTTATTTTCAGGCTCACCTTGTTGCCTCATCTTGTCCTCCTTCAAATTAGCAATGAAATCATTATTACACACTACCGTACCAGTTTTTCAGTATTTACAGTCCAAGTAGATTCCTAATTTCGCCTTGAAGATAATCCTCTGTGACTAGTATTTTACTGATATTTAATTTCTCTGCGACATTAAAACGACTTACGGATTTGGGTTCTTTTTGGAGATTGAATGGTTGACAGATTATCTAATTGCTGGTGATCTAGAATCCTATTAATGGCATAAGTCAATGAGTACTTTTTCAGAATCAAACCTTGCACCTTCTGTAATTGTACATTTTACCGTATCGTTTCATCCAGCATTATCTTATCAGAAATTGTAATTTAACTTTTTAAACTAATTTGACAAGATTAATGTGCTGATGTATTTATGTCAGGAGTTTCATCAAATTAAAGTCAAATTACCTTGTCAGCATCTAGAGTTTGACGTAAGATTGTTGTCTTAACTCTCATATTGAAATGGAATCCAAAAATCACAATGGCAGATCCTGCCATGGTTTTAAAGGTGGCAGACTAATTTCGTGTAGGCTTTAATGTGATTATTTGAGATCTGGTTATGGTTATAGATCGGTCAAGTTTTGTTGTGGATACTTCTAAATCAGACCGTCGAAGTTGATCTTTAGGCATTTTTCAATTAACTTTTTTTCTTCCTTAAACATTAGTTCAAATTCTTTGTTGCTTCTCATGACGGAATTTTGAAGAAACTGTCAGAAGTTGAAAAATTTACAATTTTTTTCATAACTGCATTGCTGACATTTTTCTTTCAGCATTTTGATTGAGGCATTCAGAGTATATGGCAGGAAGGTAAGGAAACCTCGTTGTTCTTGTTGTTCAGCTTGTGAAACAGCTTGACTTTCTCTTCCTTCTTGCCTGTCTTGTCGAGGGATAATCTGAACGACAGTTCCTTTCTCAGATCTCCAGTATAATGCATAGTTTTGACTGAAAGATACTCCTGACATTCTGTAAGATCTACCTCTGTGTGCAGTACGCATAATTTGTCAGTATGAGAGTTTTTAATTCGGAGTAGATAATCAGAATAGGTATTCAGCCCAACTCTGTGATGTACTATTTAAGAATTTCTTTCAGAAGTGTGTATAAAAAATTAACTTAAGGTCCATTGTTTCTCAGAAATTTTGTCTCTCATAACGCTTTTATTTCTTTGTACCCTCCCCCTCGATTTCCTTGAGTGTTAAAACATCTTCTCTGTTCATATATATTTTGAGCTGAAACAATACTTAACGATGCAAGTTACACCAATACTGTCATCAAATTTCAAACATATGCCTTGAAATTTGCACCGTTGCAAACAGAATTCATCCATCATCACTTTGAACTCAATATGAGCCAATTTTAAAGCCAACAATGATTATTATTCAGTGATGTTAAGAAGTCGTACTCAGTCTTCATGTGCCAATTTGATCTAACACTCCCTAGTCCTGTGAGCTATGTGATTTTTTTTCCAAGGATCCAGCTGTTATTCTTATAGGCAAATTTTGTTCAAAATCTTCCTTTTGTAAAATAATGTATATCATCTAAAAAACAATACCATCTAAGTGCAATTTCCAAGATCTCTTTTTGGAGTCTGAAAAACATCATATTCATAACATGTAGGAAGATGTAGACCGATAGTAAAGTTTTTGATCACTACTACAGCACTACTTTGTGAAGTTCCATTTTTGTTGTTGACAACGGTTTAGATGTCTGTTTTATCGTATTATCATGACCACTGTAGCTCTTGTATGCGCCAGGGATTTCCGATTTAACACTCTCTTTTATGCAAAATTTTGCAAGAAATCCGATGGTGCCACTGGCTTTTTCTGAAACAAACTTCCAACCTCAAAAAAGCTCTCAAAGTTGAGTTCGCAATGAAGGAGATCTCCCTTGCTATGCTGAGAGTGTACCTCTATATCCATTCAGTCAAACTCCCTATGTCCAGTTAGGGAGCAAATTTTTCAGCAGGGTTGCCACTTTGTTTGAGAACTCCAAGATTGGAACTACGGCAACTCTCCTAATGTTTTTTCCCTGCACCTGTGCATGGGGAGTTTGCATAGAATACATAGAGTTGTAATGTAAGTAGGAGCGCTGGTGCCATGTTCTGGTCAATGAGTTGCGAGCGCGGTGTGCGCCAGGCTTTAGTCACTTTTTCGAGACATTTTTTACCCAAAATGGGGTTGTAGAATATGTAATAATTCATATCATCTTTGTTTACATCGGAGGGACGGGTCCCCACTTATCAAAAGCAGTCGATTTATGTATCAAAAAAGGGACCCGACATGATACAGGCATCTTGCAATTTGAGGCCTGGGGAATGCTTAAATGTGGTGCCAGCTCTCCCATTTACATCACGACTCTATGTAATTTAAAACCAGTAGCACTATCTTGCTTCTTGCAAAATTTTACACAAGAGAATGCACTTTAATTGCAAATCCCTGACTCATGTTAGAACTCCATGCTGGCCGAATTGATCATAGTCATTTTGTCCTAGGTTCTTTGTTTTTGTAGGGATGTCATGCTTATTTCTTGTGACTAAAAAATAGTGAATCACCGTACATATGTTAGATTGATAGCCTATATATCAATACATACTCTTTCTGTAACTTCTGAACCTCTCCCAAGTAAGTCAACGCTATATTTATCAAGGCTGTATGGAAATTGCTTTTCCAGGCAGATTAAAAAAAAAGTTGCTGTTGGCTCCTGTGTCAACCCAAGAAAATGTTGATAGTATCTTTTGTAACCCTGCCCATCAAAAGGGTAAGATCAGAAAAATCCTTTTTTTTCTTTTCTTCATTTCTGTCCATCTGAGGATATCCGTTCTAATTAATTCTCAATAGCGCAAAAATCAATCCCTCAATATCTTAAAGTGATTTAGTTTTTATTTTGATCAAGGAAGATGGTAGCAAACTAATGTTATGCTGAACAACAGAAACTATGTTGTTTATGAGGGCAGTATTTGTGTGTAAATTTCTTGTATATTTTTGTGCATAACATTTTTTTTAATGACCCTCAATGCTCAAAGAAAAAAGTTTGAATCGGGTGGTACAAGTTGTTACTTTTATTTTAATTATTTATTTCTCTAATTTTTTTAGTTTTTAAATGTTGTCTTGTTTTTTATTATATATTTTATTGTTATTGCAATTACTTGATTAAGAATTCAAAACTCCAACTAAATTTGTGTCTCTAGGGGTTTTTCTTCCTTTTTTCAATCAAATTTCTTCTGTTTTCCGTAATCCCCAATTTATTTATCATTAATTTTACTCCTGGCTCCCCCCCCCCCCCTCTCTTTTCTCTTGGTGATTTCTATCTCACGTACCCAAAAATCTGTCCAATTTTGAGCAGTTTTAACTGGATAAGTTTGTACCACAGATTCCTGTGTATTATTTGTTAAGGGATCCTTTGTTTCTCAGTCCATTTTTTTTTTTTTTTTTTTTTTTTTTTTTGTGCTTCAATATTTTTAATTTCTATTCAATATTATTTTCTGTACAGTTTTTATGAATCAGTTGTTAATGCGTTAATTTTTGAGTAACGTTTCTAATATGCTCAGCATAAAGTCTCAAACTTGCAAAAGTAGAAGGTACAAATCGAAAGACATGTCCTTACAAGAATTCAATGAAGTAAGTGAAGTATATTCTCTATAATAATATACAGCATTGAGCAATAGCTCTATTTTTTTATTTTTTTTAAAATTATTCCCTGTTCAATTTTTGGCTTGGCAATTAGATTGTCCTAAATTTTCGCTAATTTATCCGTGCTGAATTATTATTTTCCTCTTTCGAATTGTAACATAATTAATAAGAAATGAGTTTTCGAAAAGTTCTGACCCTTTTGCTGGAATCACAAGTTGAATTTGGCAGCTGAATATGGGAGTCAACAATCATCGCTCAAAAGCTGAAATTTCGTAAAGTCGAGTCGTTGTCATTCAGATTTGTATCAAATCCATTCGAATAGTTCAGACAAACTGATAACTGCTGAGCTCCGATCCTCATCGGTGACGCGCAAAATTCAGGCATTGGACTGATGACCTCCTCATTCAAGCCACATTCAGCTCCCACATTCAGCGAGTGATTTTGGCTTTTGGTCAAGAATTTGTCCATGTAAGTCATTTTTCTAATTAATTGCCACCTTGAGTGAAGACTACCTTTCATTTTTTTGCTTGAGTCCGTAAATTGCTTAACTGGTTTCAGTAACTGAAATTCAAAACTCTGACTGTATTTGATCAAAAACAAAGCCCCTCATATTAATCCAGGGAGTTACAGAGCCGAGCCAAGCTGAAACTATAGAAATTGTGTTCCTAACTGATCCTGTAGATTTTGAGTCCTTCGAGCTGTTGAATTTTATATATCATTAAATGTAGAGTTTTTATTTTCCTCATGGTGTGAACGAAGGCATTCTAATATCTTGTGCCAGAGAAGCTTTGTTTTCATTTTTTTAAATGGTGAACCCTTTTTTAGTGGAAAACTACGATAAATGGTGTGCATTTATAGATTGAAATTTAAAAAAAAATACGAAGTTTATCACTTTTTGAAGATTGCAGTGTTCACTCAATAGTTTAAAATTGTGATGAAAGGGCGTTGTAACTAAATTAAACAAAGAAGCTATTACATTTCAACTCTCGCCCATCTGGAATTGCATAGTTCTATCTATACAACAAAATGTCAAAATACATGCATATTATGCTATTGGTGACTAATTAAATGAAAACTTGTTTTGTGACTTTAATACTAAGAGAATTTCATAAGGCCGGTTTCCTATAAATCCAAGTTAATTTGTATTTTCTTTATATATGCCCTTGGGAAAAGAAGATTTTTCAAATTTGGTCATTAATAGTTTAAGCTCTCAAAGTAATTTCCTAAGACAGTTTTTAGAGACAACAATCATTGTTTTACTTTTACAATATATTTTCTGATATTTTTAATTATATGTTTCTTTCTTCAGGCAAGAAAAGGTGAACCATAAACTCTCTAGAGTTTTAGATAGAATTTTAACTTTTCAAGACTGAACTTGATTTTATCATTTCATGAATTTATTCATTAAGTATCTTAGACACCTATTTGTAGAATATGCAATGTTTGCCAAACAAGTTCATGGTTGCAAAATCTTCATCACTCAACTTAATATGATCACCATCAACAGAGGCTACATTTATCAAGGCATTTGGACCTATGCTATCACTAGACCCCTAAGCTAAAACTAAGGCAGAGGAAATCTCATAAGTCCGATCAGTTTCACTGGAAGACGTTCTTCAAATGGACTGCGCATAGCAATAAAGAACCAAGAATGTCTTTGGAACCAAGTCACATTTAACTGGTTTTTTTTTTTTTAATAATAAAACTAATCCCATATTATGAATCAAACTAAGTTCAAAAGCAACACTATAGTCTTTAGTCGCATAATTTGTCTATGCCTGGTTAAATGTGGTTTTTAAACTCAAACAAGGATTCCTCTTGATCTCAAAATCACAAGAATATAAATGAACGTCCTTGTAAAACATCAAGTTCAAATTCCCTGATAATCATTAGCTAAAAAACGTCAACCTTTTCTCTCCTGGAATTCTTTAGTTTATTTTCAGAACCTTGTTTAAAATTACTCTTATCCTAAGAATTTAAGTACTTGGGTGTTTATTTCATAATTTATCTGCCTATTACGGTTCAACCCCAAAAACACTAAATATCTCTTTTTCCCTGAATATAAGATTACTGTGCACCAGTCTTTTAACCAAGAACAATCTTTCACCATCAAAAAATTTCAATTTACTTGTCAATGGAAGGAACAGCTTTGAATCAATAACAAATAAATTGATAATAAATTCTGTATATTCAGTTTTTTTATTTAATCAAACTCGTATATTTCCCAGTTCTTCTATTTAGAAATAAGAATTATCTCTGTAGTTCTGGGCAAAAGAACCAGAACTACTTTTTCAAGGATTCAAGAAAATAGGAGAAAAGCATTAGTAGGCTCCACTATTGCCTGCAGCGTCTTCTGCAACTTTAAATAGATTGTATCTTGAGACCGATGAAAGAAATTAAAACCCATTTTTTTTTTTTTTTTTTTTTTTTATGTGTTAGTTACCTTAACTGAAAAATACAACAGAAAATTTGTACCTTATGATGCAAATTGAGAAATGTGTTTTTCTAATTTTACTGTTACAATGTAACCCTAGTTTGGATTTTGTGAAGTAATTATGATTTTTCCACCTTACGGTTTAGACCAAAACTTCAGTATGGACGGAACCTGTGAGCCCGGTAAAATTCTATGAAAGACCTTTTCAAGGAGAAACTTATTTTAATAGGAACACCCAAATACTAGGAACTCTTTTGACTATACATCTTTACGTTACAGTGTCCTCACCCTCTTTCGATTTCTTACACACATTATCGAACATATTGATAGTGACCAAGTGGCATATCTCAGTTTATGACGTAGCAAATCTACCTATCAAATTTTCATACATAAGTAAGAGAGGCTTGATCATAGTCTTTGCTCTGAATTTAAATGATTTTTTAGTCGTGCGGCGAAGCCGTATAGACTCTAGGTTTCGCCGGAGGCTAAAAAGTGTCCACACTTTTAGGCTAAGTCCAAGAGGAGGATTTTCGAGGAACCAAGTAACATATGAGGTATTGATATCGGTGCATTTTGGCCCAATGGAGATGTTACATGTGCGAGGAATTTGCAATTTAACTGTTGATTCTTGTATAAAAGTTCGCGAGGAACACAATGGTGCCACTGGTTTTCTCTGAAATCATCT